CTTGTTTGTGCTTCGTGAACACTCTCGCCTTGCATGGCGGCACCATTTCGCTGCAAAGATGTACCGGGAGAAGCGCGATTATTAGACGACCGATCGTCATTTCCAAAAGGCAAATATTCCTCTTCAGAGTCAGAATCGGCGAATAACATTTGCAACACAGTATAACTTTTTATTAGCCATTTGGCGATTTTCTCTCACAAATCTCACAGCTTACCCGCACGCTATGAACTGAACTGCTTCCACATCACAATGACAGGATAGCTCACTTGCTCTGCTCTTTCCTCAAACACTTTGAATAGGAAGGTGACGTAATTTTGGTCTAGAATCAAAGTACTACATGTCTGCCATCTAGTGGTAGGGAATACAAATTAGATATTACACCGTATTAGGAACTACAGTCTATTTGATTAAGTATGACGTATTGTCGCAATTTTGCAACTTTGGCGCTAAGAGGGTTAATAATTCCTCTTGGAGATTTGTAAGTACAGTTTGAAGATATGTTAACTGAACCAATAAACAACTATTTTAGAGATTAAGGAGATTAAAGCAGCGTAGTTACTGTGCGTTTCAACGAGTTGGTTATTAAGGTGGACTAGTTTTAGTTTGTTCTGTTTGTTTTTTCTGGCTGTATTATTTTAAGCAGTGGCTCCTCTCTCTAGGAGTTGCATCTCTAAAATTGATCTCTTTTAAGCACCGTCGGTTCAGCCATCACAACACTGCTCGGCCAATACCGTATTGACCCGAATATAAGACGATGTTTTTTTTCTTGGAAATACATTTGAAAAAACGCGGTCGTCTTTTATTCAGGGTCTAGACCAGGGGTGGCGAACGTCGGCCCTGGAGAGCCACAGCCCTGCAGAGTTTTGCTTCAACCCTAATCAAACACACCTAAACAAGCTAATCAAGGCCTGAAGGGTTACTAGGAAGCTACAGGCAGGGGAGTTTTAATTAGGGTTGGAGCTGAGCTCTGCAGGACTGAGGCTCTCCAGGACCGGAGTTCGCCACCCCTGATATACACAAACGCTCTGTATCAATGTGGCGCCAAATACGCATAAAACGAGTGTGCCATGAATTACGTAATGTAATGCGTGTCGTAAAGATCGCGAGTAAAAACAAAAGCAGAAAACCTTACAGCTGCATGAGTCGTGACTGTCACGTTAGCCTGATGGGACCAAACTCCCTTTGTGATTTTACCCAGATTTGAAGACTACAGTAAGATTTAACTTCCACTGTTAATAAGATTTTGGTAGGCTACTATTAGATGGATAGCCTAAATGTCCTAATTCAGATGGGCTCCCTGTTTTTTTTTTTTTTAATGGTATATCAAAAAGGGTATATTTTTTAAATGTGATTGTTGGTACATTTTACCAGTTTTTACCATACTTTCAAAACAAAAATTAAACTAGGAAAAATATGCAATATGAAAATAATTGAAGACAAAATGTGTTTTACTGAGAAAAAACAAGATTTGGTTTTTAAAAAGCCTTTTTCCAAAAGGTACATCTGGAAAAAGGGGGGTCGTCTTATAATCAGGGTCATCTTATATTCGGGCCAATACGGTAAATCTCCCATCGTCAACACATTTCAAGTTAGACTTCACTTCTCTTTTTAAATCACTTTGAGTGAACCGTATTCCCATTATACGTAATATAAACATAATACATATACCTAATGTCTCTGTTTTTTTTGTTTTATAGATAGACTATGGTAGTTTTGGTAATTAAAGCTTTTATGTAGAATAGCGCTATTTTAGTACTATATATATACTGTTGTATATATTGTATTTCTTATATTGTCTTTTTATATGGTCAGTTTTATTTAATTTAATTTATTTTTAATTTTGTCTTTTTTTGTATTTCTGTTTAGCTTTCATTTGTATTTATTTCAGTTTTAGTTTTAATAGTTTTAGTTAGGGATGCACCGATACTGGTATCGGGTCTGATACTGAGCTCCTGTACTCGTAGTCGTACTCATACTCGTACTCGTTAAAATGCCCCGATACCAAACGCCGATACCACATGTGATAAGTGCCATATTCAGACAAAGAAACACCGTCAACAGAACAACAGACAGCAGAATTGAGTTATTATTAGAAATGAAGGATGTCTACAAAGTATATGTATGCAATGTATATAATATTAAACATTCAGTATTAACGTCTGTATAGCTGATGTGCGCGAGCTGATAAGCAAAGCACTGGATTGTGCGTGCTGCGGTGCACATGCTCGAGCTTGTCGAGTTAATATCCCCTTCTCACAGACATCACTGGAAAGTTTGTAGTTTGGTCGGATATTGTAAACAACATGTATAGGGGCATTCACTCTAAACAACATTTATTTTCAACCTTAAGCATACACGACTTTATGGCGAAAGTGAAACTATCAACCAGTGTAAATGCCAAGCGGCAACCTTCCGCTCTCTCTCGTGAAACCAACACGGAAGTGACTAAAACTGCAATTCATCGACTGGCTGCTAGAGGCTGGCTTCAAAAGGGAGTCAGTCCCATAGACTCCCCATGTTAAAATACCCAACTTTACAGCAGGAAAAAATGTTTACAGCCTGGTACAAAAAGTGTTTTTGGTCTATATAGCTAATTTTGCCCTTCATGACAACTGTGAGGGGGGTGAATTTTTTTATAACTCATCCATTTAAATTATATTAAGCCTTAAAGTTCTGCATAATTAAGGGCGTGGCCACTTGGCAGCGCGTCACTCCCGGATAATCGAAAATGGGCAAAGAGGCGGAAGCTGGTTGCTGAAACCACGCCCACCTAGCTCGACGGTGGTAACAGCAGCGGCAATCCACCTGTCACTCAATCAGTCAGTTCCCCTGAGAAACACATTCATATAAACGGTATACCTTCATATAAATTCATATAAACTGACTGTCTTCAGAAACGTTTAGATGGTATTTTCTTTTCATCTCGTATAATTCACATTAAAGCAGTGTTTCAGCCAGCTCTGCTTTGTTTACTGCGATAACCAAGGAAACGCTGTATCAGCGCCTCCTGCTGTCAGAGAGTGAATCTGCGTCTCATTCAAAGCTTCTGCTGTTTGTTTCGTTCAGGCATGTAGTTAATTTCACAAAGCTAGTCAGAACATTCTGTTTTTGCTTCAAATTGGGTTATTATTAAATCAAATTATGTATAT